TTCCTCGCTGGAAAGAGGAATCCCCAGAGACAACTATGAGTCAGTCCCCATCAACCAGGATCCCTATATGTCACTTTTTCAAAGATGCACTGCAGATTACGTGAACTACATTTACAGCTACAATGTGGCTGTTAGAACACTCATCCTTTGTACTCTTGTACTTGTACTTCTCTTTTCAGTCTCACATAGAAAAAATATTTCCATCATGTCTTCCTTTTTTTTAATGGTCAAAGCATGGCTTTAGGTCAGGGGCGATATTATCAAAAGACAATTGTCTGGTGCATCTGCAGGTATTTTCTAAATTATTGTCTTTTGACTAGTTGGCTTGTTGATGTATGTGTTTTTGAAATTCAATACTGATAATGGTCATTAAATTTTCACCAGCAATTTATGATTGTTGTAGTAATTATTGATTGATCTGCCCATTACTTTTTTGATAAATCACTTGATAATGTAGTTAAAAAACAAATGGTTGGATGACCTTTCCTGAACCAGAGCGTTTACCCTGGAAAATTAAGGCTGATCGGCCAGCTGCCATGTTTCCAGTCTTCCTCTGTCCAGTAGGATTATTGTCCCAACACAGTGGCCAGACATTACTTATCCAGACATCTATACATATTTGATCCAATCACCATGTGGTATTAGGCTGTAAATGAAAGTGTTTGTCTGTAACATTAGTTAACAGCTTACTGTTTGATCTAGGCTAAGCTGAGATTTAGTTGGAGACACAGTCATGTTTACTGATATTGCCATACCGTATGACTCCTGCAGCATTTCACTCAAGCTAGCTATCCATCAGTAGTAACTGTCACCAGCATCATTTAGCTATTTACCACACTGACAGTGAATATTCATGTATGTATTATGGGCATAATTACTCAGATTGAAAGCTTTGATTTATTAACACTTTTGGGAAGGACAATGTGTTTTGGCGAAAAATACTAAATGTAGCTTAAATGTAACTTATTGTTGTTTTTTATCCAAAGGGGAACTAAACTTCTTATATTATTTTTTTGAATGCAGTACAATCTAGCTTTGTTGACATGGCACTAAAGTCTTGCTCTTGCACTGAACATGGTGCAGATGTGGAGCAGGCACAGACAGTATTGTGATGTCAGTGATTTTTTTTATATACAACAACAATTATCCCAGCTCTTAGTACTGTTCAAAACGGAGAACTCACCAGCACGGTGTTATTCTAGTCCTTCTGTAAAGGCAACAGATTCTTCTGGTCACATGAAAATCCGGTAAAACATCTTGTAGCTTTTTTTTTTTCTCAGCTCAGACGTGTCCTCTCCAGCTTTGACTTCCTCTTTTGTGGAGACAGCACATTTTGCAATTTCCTTTTCAGGGATCTTTTGAAAGCCGGTGTGTGTCCTAATCTGTTGAGCAATAACTAGGAGGAGAGAAGCCTGGATTCTGCTGTTCATATGATTCATACCATACATGGATCTCTCACACAGCCCTGTATATATAACATCTAATTTGTACATGCACGCTATAGTTCACAATCTGCTCTGCATCCCACCCTGTTCTGTCAGGTTAATCCTTCCCACCACCAACAATAATAATCCCTGTTTGTTGAACCAAACTTCTGGTTTATATTATGGTGTCATTGGAGGTTTAATAATCCTAATACACTGTCATGGTGAGACACCTTGTGGTGACACAGAGAAGCAACTTGAGTGTGACCCCTAGCTCAAAGTTGTGTGCCTGTGACCCCTATATGTCTCAGAGAAGAACAGAACAGTAGTATTGTTTATTGGTAGTAGTATTGGTAAGCTTGACCAGTGGAAAAAAATGTGATTCTAAAATTTTGGTGGTTTTGATTTGTAGATTTTGAGTGAAAGATTAAACGTACATTAATGGAACAAACATATTCTCCTACTTTGTTTTACATAAACCATAATAAAACATTGGATTATTTAATAAATAAAGTTAAACAGGGCTGTTTTTCTTAGCTCAAGAAAACTGTCACAAGACAGTGAAGATGAATCAGCTTTATTGCCAGGTATGTGTACTCATACGAGGAATTTGACTCAGGATTGAACACTGCTCACGATGTGCTTACTTATACAATAATAAAATAGTAATAAAATAAAATCAGACACAAACTACAGAGTAGACAACACTAATATACACACTATGAACAAAACAATATAGACATATTGACAAATAGTGCAGTGATCAGAGTGCAAAGGATGCAAGAGTAAACTATTCTCATTATGTACATGTTGAAGGTGGATATGATATACAGGTACACATACATGTACACATGTACACGGTGTGATGGAACATAGTGCAAAGGATGCTGAAAAAAAAAAAATAAGACCTGTGACCTGAGGTAGGTGTATTGGTATACAGTATATACAATATGCAGTATGAACAGCACTGAAATAGAGAATGGTGAATGAATAAATAATAAGTGGAAACCAGTAAACAGGTGCTGATTAGAGACAGAGTTACTGGGTTATTGCACAGGAATTGTTCCTGAATTGATTGTTCCTGAAATCGGCTGTTCATCAGAGTGATGGCTTGTGGGAAGAAACTGTTCCTGAGTCTGTTGGTTTTGGCGTGCAGTGCTCTGTAGCGCCTACCAGAGGAGAGGAGCTGGAACAGGTTGTGTCCGGGGTGAGATGGATCTGCAGTGATGTTTCCTGCCCGTTTCCTGACTCTGGAAATGTCCTGAATGGAGGGCAGGTTGGCACAGATTATGCCACAGTCCTGACTGTCCGTTGTAGTCTGTTCTTGTCCTTTTTGGTGCCAGATCCAAACCAGACAGTGATGGAGGTGCAGAGAACAGACTGGATGATGGCTGTGTAGAACTGGATCAGCAGCTCCTTAGGCAGGTTGAGCTTCCTGAGCTGACGCAGCAAGTACGTCCTCTGCTGGGCCTTCTTGATGATCGTGTCAGTGTCACTTCAGGTCCTGGGATATAGTGGAACCCAGAAACCTGAAGGATTCCACAGCAGACCAAGAGCTGTTGAGTATGGTGATGGGGGGCAGAGTGGGGGGGCTCCTCCTGAAGTCCACAGTCATCTCCACAGTTTTGAGCGTGTTAAGCTGCAGGTTGTTCTGACCGCACCAGAGAGCCAGCTGATCAACCTCCCGTCTGTTGGCCGACTCATCACCGTCCCGGATGAGGCTGATGATCGTTGTGTCGTCAGCGAACTTCAGGAGTTTGACAAATGGGTCCCCTGAGGTGCAGTCGTTGGTGTAGAGGGAGAAGAGTAGTGGGGAGAGCACACACCCCTGGGGGGCGCCAGTGCTGATAGTCCGGGTGCTGGATGTGATGTTTCCCAGCCTCACCTGCTGACTCCTGTCAGTCAGGAAGTCTGTGATCCACTGACAGGTGGAGGCTGGCACAGTGAGCTGGGTGAGTTTGGTGCTGAGGATGTCTGGGATGATGGTGTTGAACGCCGAGCTGAAGTCCACGAACAGGATCCTTGCATATGTCCCTGGAGAGTCGAGGTGTTGCAGGATGTGATGCAGACCCAAGTTGACAGCATCATCCACTGACCTCTTAGCCCTGTAGGCAAACTGCAGGGGGTCCAGCAGGGGGCCTGTAATGTCCTTCAGGTGGGCAAACACCGGTCTTTCAAAGGACGTCATGACTACAGATGTCAGGGCGACAGGCCTGTAGTCATTCAGTCCAGAGATGGAGGTTTTTTAGGGACCGGGATGACTGTGGAGCGTTTGAAGCAGGAGGGAACTTCACACAGCTCCAGTGATCTGTTGAAGATCTGAGTGAAGATGGGGGCCAGCTGATCCGCACAGATTTTCAGGCACGATGGTGAGACACCGTCAGGTCCAGGAGCCTTCCTGATCTTCTGCCTCTGGAAGAGGTGGCTCACGTCCTCTTCACAGATCTTGAGTGCAGGTGAGAGGTCAGAGGGGGAAGGTTTGAAGATGGCGTTGGAGTGGGGGAGAGGTGTGACTCTGGGCTTTTCAAACCTACAGCAGAAACCATTCAGCTCGTCTGCCAGTCGTTGAGTTGTTGTATGTGCGGAAGGTTTTAGTCGGCACACTCATGTCCTCACAAAAACTGATGTAAGATGTCACAGTGTCAGTTAGTTCGTCCAGGTCAGTGGCTGCAGCTTCAAAAACACTCCAGTCAGTGCAGTCAAAGCAGGCCTGTAACTCCAGCTTTGACTCGTTGGTCCATCTTTTCACAGACTTTACAACAGGTTTAGCAGATTTCAGTTTTTGCCTGTGTGTCGGGATAAGATGATCGAGACAGTGATCAGAGAGTCCCAAGGCTGCACGGGGAACAGAGTGATAGGCGTCCTTTAATGTTGTGTAGCAGTGGTCCAGTGTGTCCCTGGTGGGACACTTAATATGCTGTCTGTATTTTGGAAGTTGATGACTGAGGTTTGCTTTGTTAAAGTCCCCAAGAACAATGAGGAGGGAGTCTGGATGTTTTTTTTTCTCCACGTTAGTTATCTGGTCGGCCAGGTGTAGTAACGCCTCACTAACACAAGCCTGAGGTGGAATGTAAACGCGGTGAATAAAACGGTTTACAGTTTTTACAGTTTAGATTGTATAGAAGCACTTACAGTAACACAATACAGTTTAACAGCACCACAAACTACAGCCTTTTAATTTTTTTTGTTTTCTCTTCAGTTTTAGTGAACTTAAAGAACAAATTATTATTGATTTTTTAATCAGTTGACTCTAACTTATTATATATTTAAAAAAAACAAATGTTATTTATTTTATTTATAAGATTTGTGTTTATGATATTATTATTCTTCTTTAAATCCACAATACATTTTAAAATTGTTGAATATACAGTAGTATATGTACCTACCATGTTCCGGTAATGGTGCTTCCTATCTTCAAGTCAAAAACAAGCTATTTGCATAAAGGGGTTTCTTCTCTTAAGTAATGTTATTTAATATTTGGGACAGTATGGTATTCTTGCATCAAACCAAATGTAAAAACACCATCTAGGTAAGAGAGAAAGCTTTAAAGATGTAAAACAAAGTAGCTACTACATCTACAGTTTTAAGGTACTTTATTGATTATCTCCATCGTTTAAGTCATTTAATTAAGTAAATTTATTCTACTGAGTTTCAGAGTAAAATTTTGGACTTTACTCCAACACATAATGAACACCATAGCCAGGACACTTACACCATCAACACCATTAAGTACTTTTAATGGATAAGTGATGTAACACTTGTTTTATAGGATTATAACCATAGACTGTATGGATTATAACATTTTAAATGCTACATCCAAACCTAATCCAAACATACACCTCAACACTGAGCATTTTCTCACACCACGTTCTTTTATTATAGTCAGATTTGGCATGTAAATGTGCAGACATGCAGACTTGCAAATGGACTGAATACTTTTCTGCTGATGAAGATGCTTCCCTGAGATTTATTGCATAGTGACACACACACTCACACTCACACTCTCTCTCTCTCTCTCTCTCTGTACTCAGTGGCCACTCTATTGGGTATGGCTCTAAAATCTAATGCAATCCAATACCTCCATCATCTTTACACAGATGAAACATCTCTCAATGTTACGCAGTCCGTTTCAACACCACTGCAAGCTACAACCTCAATAATAAACAACATATTTAAACCAATACCTCTCTGACAGTGTTAATCAAAACTCAACACATTATTTCTTTGTAAAGGTAGAATATACGGATTAGCACATACAATATAATTTAAAAGTAACAAAAATACTTGTGTATGTCTCAGCCGAGGAGGACAGTGGGTAACAGCATTTCACTGTAGGTGAATGCAGCTACTGAAACATTGAATGCCTGTAAAAGGAGTGTTGAACACCAAACATGGCGTGGTGGTGCCACCGCATGACATCACATGTACACAATGCATGAAAGACAAATTTGATATAACGGCAAACACATTTAAGAACATCTTTGTTTTGCATAAACTAGCAGAGTTAGAAAGTGCTGTTCTGCCGAGCCAGAAAGTAATCCATTTTCGTATTCCTTTTAGGTTTGAAGAGAGCATAGATGAAGACCAAGACCACAGTGAGGAAGCAGGACACAGCCACTGCAGCTACCACCAGCCATGTAAATGTGGGGTCTGCGAAGGGAGAGGCAGAGGTAAATTAATGTTTTGATACAGAGGCCACTGGTTGCTATGATCATCACAAAGAATAACTCCAGTGTATTAGAACATGGTTTGGCGATTGGTTATGCTAGTTATGAGTATTTGCTAAGATCTTGGAACATGGTGACATTGACAAATTTAGAGAAACACAAGCAGTCAGACAATCAGATGGGTTTCAAACTAACCTCCACACACACAACTCTGCAATAAGGGATTACTGGCTCAATCCAAATAAAGTTGTTTTTAAAAAAATCTGGCTAAACTGTTGGCTTGTTTACAGCCTGTCTAATCAACTCGTGTTTCTGTCAGACATCATTGATATTGTTGTGTTCCCAGATCTCAGCAATCACTTCAGTGAGTTCAATGTTATCTGTCTCATGTGGTGCATTTTCAAAGATAACAAAACACGGTATTGCCATGATTCTCTTCCTTATAAACAAACATGACAAACATAGATTAGTAAATAAAAAAACAAAACAATTATAATATTACTTGTATAACACCACCTGCAAAATGTTCTTACCTACATGTCAAAGAAAAACACAAGGCCTCAACGCAACGATAGCCACAGTGACCAAAACATTACATACTGCTTAGCATGTGCTTCATGAATTTTACATGAAAACTTTTTGATAATCCTGATTTACCTGATTTCAAGTGTTTCGGTAGAGCGATCACACACACACACACACACACACACACACAACTCACCCTCTAGTCGAAGCTGTGCAACAACTTCCTGTCTTCCACCTTGGTTCTGAGTGACACATTTCAGCTCTGTCTCCACGTCTTCTTCCGTTATCGCTACAACAATTAGCTTCAACTCAATCTGGCAGCCCCCAGACACTTTGGTTACCCTAGAGACAATGTTTTTATGGTTAGGCGGGTCACACTGCAAAACGCAATCAGAAGTACCTCAAGGCTGAAACTGGGCAAGATGTCAGTCTAATAATACTCATATATTAGCAGCTTTAATCAGAGGAAGTCCTAATACACAGAAAGGGACAATCAAAATCAAGAAGGTACAATCCAAAGTACATCCTCAATAGCAGCGTGTACAGGTAATATCACTTGTAACAGTGTTTTGATTATTTGTGTTTAGTATTTACTGTTCTATATTTACACTGGAAGAATTGCACCAAATATTGAAGGTTCTTATAATGACATACATTTGAAAGCTTTCAAATTTGAT